AAGGGACACAGACAGACTAATGTACATTTGGTATTGCACAAGTATTGAACACATACTGAATATTGTCACGGTCTGCTTTTAACATGCCGAGGAGACCGGGCAGCCTCCAGTTTTCTGTTTACAGGTGGGCGTGGCAACGAGCTCCAACTGATCCTGATCGCACTAATCAGAGGGCCAGGGGATTTAAGGGGCGGTGTGACACAACTCTAACGCCGGTCGATACTCTCACCAAGCTTAGCTTCCAGCCCAGTATATTTCCTGAATTCCTGCGAACTTGTCCTGTGAAATCCTGTGTGTTTTTGTCTCTAGTTATCTCACCTTGCATCTTTAACCACGCCGCCTGGAGTTGTATTCCACGTCCCACCATTCAGGATCCTCTGGCCTCTACTCTCCACTGCCCGCCTGCCTGCCAACCTACACCCTGGACTCATACTACCATCTCCTGGCTATCTCCACCTCAACCATCGTTCCTGTCACCTCCCCTCTACTGGACTTCACCCAGTTCACCACTGTTAAGACCTGGTCTATGACCGTAAGAACTATTTTCCCCAAATAAGATTAATTCTTTTGGTTCTCTGGTTCTGGCACATATTCACGATTGTTTATAGCCTAGTGAACTAGACCAAATTCTTGCTTTGCAAAGTCTAGGCATGCTCCATTGGAACCTTCACAGCTCCTACCAGGACTCTGGCTAGCCAATCACAGCTCTCTAGAGGGGTTTCAAACACATAAAAAGCTGTGATTGGTCCATAATGGTGGGCCAATCATAGTGCTCTATCTGCTTAGTGAACAAATCACAGAGCTTTATCCACTTTGTGGGCCAATCAGGGCACTCTATATGCCTGGTGGGTGGGATGATGCAACAGAGTGAAACAAGAGTATGTCACATTCATTGTCCAGTGGAATGTGGAGATCATTTGAAAGACAACGGTAGAACCCGCCCCACAACCGAGAGCTGTCAATGGAGTGTGGCCAGACTAAATAATACATTTATTTAGTCTGGCTTGCCAGGCTAGATTGTTTATTCTCTCGTTTTAGATTCCGGTTCCTTCCTGTTTTGTGGAGCAGCGCCTTTAGTTTCCCTTATCCTCATTTAATAAATAATTTTATTTTACTTGCCTGGTATTTGCGTGTGGTTCTTCATGTCCTGGGTTAAACGGCTTGCCCACAACATGACAAATATAACATTGATGCTATTGAAGTAGCTGTCCATGGCCTCAACAGTGGAATGCAAAGAGTGGGAAGAATTTTCCAAGATGGACGTCATCTTCACCAGCATCCTTCTTTAAAACATCTCCTCAACTGAATCTAGTTGGCAGCCCAGAACCGTGCTAGCTTTTGTGTAACTAGCGTGCTCAGTCTCTTGCTGTCTCGGTCAGAGCTGCCTGCACCACAGCAGAAAAGATAACGGAGCCAACTACAGGTGACAGCTGCTGGTGTTGTAGGTGAAGAGCAAAGTGTAGGTGATAAGAAAGGGTAAGAGCATTGTACCCTGCGGAGCTCCAGTATTCCACACAACCACCTCAGATGTGCAGTTGCACAGCCTCTCATACTGTGGCCTGTTGAGATAGTTGATGGTCCATGCAGTCCGATATTTGTCCACACCTGTACCCCTCATCTTCTGCTGCACTAGAGATGGCTGGATGGCGTTGAAAGGATCTGAGTGCACACAGTTCAATGCAAGAATAAATGGTTCTAAATAAGTTGATCTTTAAGAACAATAAAATAAATCCAAGAATTGCTAATTTGTCTTTCCTGTACTATTTTAATTGATTGCCTTTTTATGCTTGGAATCTAAATTTTACGTCAAATGAGCCGGAGATTAATAAATAACTTGCAGTCATTGACAAATACAAATATCTATAGGTCAATATGCGCATAAACATGAGTAGGACAACACACGAACACAAATACACCAGCGGGAATTGAACATTTGTCAAGTTGTGCTTGTGATACAAGTTCAAATGAGTAATGGGCACACGTTTCTTTCTATATTCTGTTTATATGCTTTCTGGAAGGACATTTATTTCTGTTGTGCTGCAGTCGCAGCTTCCTCAAGATGTAAATGACCCAGATTCTGTCTGCACTTTTCCTCCAACAGTCCCAGAACTTGCAACTGAAAAAAAAAGGGAAATATGTTCTTGTTTGTATGTATGAGCGTTTTCGGAGCCTGTGGGTCTCTGTTTGCCTGCTTCAGAGCCACAGGCTTTATCAGAGTCAGCCCTGCATCCACCTAGCTGGCAGCTCCCTCTCACATCCTGCGGCTGGGGGCTAGCCCCAACAATCTACGGGGCCCCTGCCGAGGGGCCCCATTGTCTCCATCAGCATACTTTGAGCTGAAAACCCAAGGCGCTCTCTGAGCTCATTGTGACTGCTCTAACAGCATCTCCTCAAACGAGCATGTTCATTAGTTATCTGAATCCTTGTTAATTGGATTAATTGTTGAATGGGAACCGTGTTATTAAAAATGACTAAAACACAAGGGCAGAGAGAGAAAAAGAGGAGGATTAATATTGTGTCTGTTTACTCGCAGGCTGTCAGAAGACACAAGCAGAAAGTGTGCGCACACACACTTAGGTATGCATTGCCTGTCTTTTTCCACATCTCTAACTCTGTTTCTTCTTTTAACACAAATCCTAACACACACACACACACACACACACACACACACACACACGAACACACACACACAGCCCATCTCAGAAGAAAATGCACTAGGCAAGGTACAAATTACCATGTGCACCATTTGTGATAAGAACTAAACCCTTTTTCAAAGCTGGAAATAAATGCCAGATTCTTTTTGATGCAAGAGAAGTGTGACTTTCCCATCGCTTACAGTCAAAGACTGAAAAAAAAAGAGAGAAACACAATGTCAGTAGCGTGAACAGTTTAGTTATCTCCGAGTCACGTGTTAACCTGGGTTTCTCCATCCCTCTGTGTCTGTCTTATCCACCAAAATCACTTATTGGAGTTTGACTTGAAGGGATGTTTTATCATCCAGCTTTAAGATAGCATGCCGATACCTCGGACCATTTGGACGACAGGACAAATTTTATGCGTCTGTAATTTTTGGGAGCGCAAATGACTCATCATTATGAGAAGATTTAGCCATTGTCTTTTTTTTGACAGTCAAACAGCAAATTTTTATTATTTTATTTTAAATAGGAAAGCTACAACAAATTGAACAAAATTGAAAGCCTGAACTTTTAGAGGATAAACTGCCTGCCTTGGGGGTAAACGATCCTAGGATCTTGCTTAATAACCAAGTGGTACTTTGTTTTAATCAGACTGCACAGATTAACAGTTGCATTTGTTTTATTTTTTTACTTCATCTGAGCTTCTTATGTCTTAAATTTAGCAGGTTTAGATAAACGCTGACTGGAGGTCAGAGAGGCAACATCCCAAAGTATGCATTGGGGACATCTGACTTACCTCCTGCTCGTCTAATAAAATCTGCTGCTATCTGAGGCTGAATCAAGTATTATGCTGTCATTTGACATATCACCACACGGAACGTGTCGCTTTAAGCCTGAAACCTTGAACTTGAAGATGAACCAGCTCATTCTGGAAAGATACCTCCAGGGTTACCTCTGGATTGACCCTTCTTCAATAATTGATGTTTATTACCATGGTGATAACACCAACAAAACAGTAGTATGAGATACCGAATGTCCTAAAGCAGTTAAAATGTGAGATTTGTTTGAGTATTCATGCGGGCACAACTCTTACAAAGGTCTTAGCGGGCAAACTGAGAGTAGACCAAGGTCAGGGCTCAGATTTACCCCAGTGCCTCTCATCCAACAGGTGGTTAAATCAGAACATGCTACTAGCATGATGCAAATAACTGCAGGGGGGCTGGGCTGCTTGTGTGGCATTGATCACATATGCTAATCTAAAAATGATATCTACAGTGGTCCTTCCAAGGACAGGACAATGAATAGACTGCATTGATTGCTGGAGGATTGATCAATGGTCCCAAGACAGATAACAAGGAGGATGAGTTTTGCGTAGCAATGGTTATCTTGTAGGAAATAGACTGCATCACCCTCACGTTTCTTTCTTTTTAAAGACACACTTCAATGCCACGATGTGAGTTTTGCACATGAAAGACACAATCCACCCAAAATTCATGGAATATTCCATGAAAGGGAAGAGTCAATATCTGTCACACACAGTCGGAAGACACAAGCAGAAGGTGCACATAAATTATTCAACCCATGTATGATTGATTATCTTTGACCGTCCAAATCATTGCACTAGTTTGAATGAGAATTAGAGACTTCATAAAACATAAAAACACACCAAAATGTTCTAAATAAAAAAAGATACAAGGAAAGGGAACAATTTAAATGCTTTCATGTAGCCACTGGAATGTTGCTTTGTTACTGGATTGGCAACATGGAGAATGCCCTAAACTCTTGCACAACTAAAAAAAAGACACAAATCTTTGGAAAAAGTTGTGTTTATAAATTTAGAAAAATACATAATTGATTAGAGGTTCAACATCTTCTTAAGAATGTTTACTAAATGGCTAATATACATTTTTAGGACTCTACAGTCCCCATTGAATAGGGATGTTTCTAAATCTAATTTCTCATGTTGCTGTTTTTACATCTGCCTCTTGTCGTTTTCCTTCTCTTTGCTCTCTCTTTATGTGTTATTTCTTAGATATACATTTCCAATTAAGGACTAATGACCTCATGTCTCACTGAGCCATTAAAATAGTGCTTATTGGACACGTTTAGAAATGTGCTTCCGTCTCTAAATGACAGGAGGGAGAAAGAAAGCATTTTTGCTATTTTATGTTGACTACACTTTAGGGGGCTTTGTGTGAATTCCTGAACGTTTTACGTGATTGGTCAAAGCTCCTGTCCGTCATTTCATTAACCGCGCCGCTCCGCCCCGTTTGCTTCGACTGTACGCTCTGATTGGTGTTAAAATTGTTCCCGAAAGAACGATTGGCCAATGAGCTTTGAGAAGGACGAACCCTTTCGGGAAGAACACTCTCTCGCGCCCAGTGGTGGAAGTGAACGTCCCCGAGCGCACACGGGGTAAAGGAGAGTACCGCGCACGAGTCAGTGGAAGGGTCGTAACGGTTTTCTTTTTGCTCCCTCTCCACTTAAATAACAAGAACCAAACAAACCTAAATTTAAGAGGGGCTTGCGGCGTACTCTGCTCTCAAGGAGAAGGGAAGCGAGGGATTGGAGCAGCAAGTTTATTTTTTTCTTTTTGTTGTTGCCTTCAAAGAGGATTTTGTGTTTTCACGGTGGTTTGTTCTCCGCTCTCGCCGCAAAGATGATGGTCGGAGAGGTCGAAGTGAAGGAGCGACCGAGGCCGAGTCCCGACTATTTGATGCAATTATTAAACGAAAAGAAGCTTATGACCAGTTTGCCAAACCTCTGCGGGATCTTCACACACTTGGAACGGCTTCTGGATGAAGGTAAGTTGCGTTCGGATAAGAGGGGGTAGGCAGGGAAGCGTGACCACGGTGCTGTCCGATTCTTGGTACGGCTTCTGCTGCAGAACATCTACCCACAACTGCTGTAGCAGGAATCCCAGTATTATCACGCATGGCACGGTTATTAAACTTCTTACTAATAACCTATCCCACCAATTTTTAAACCACTGGAACAGTTTTAGTGTTTCATGACCATAACGAGAGTTCCACGGAGTTTGGCCAAGCGCAAACTTTCTGACTCGCTTTCGTAAAAGGCAGAACGACGTGTTAATGTTGACCCAAGTGTTCAGAAACAACGTTTGAAATGTGAAACGAAGCTATTAAAGTCTTAGTCTTGTCAGGCAGGGCCTGTTTCCACATGTTCCACGGCAGTTTAGCTCGAGTTAGCCACATTTGAAGCTAACGAGCCTGGGCGTCTGTGTCGCTGAACTCTTGAGCTACCGAACAGTGGCGTTAATTTGGCGACGTGTTTTTTTAGAAAGTCTTCCCAGGCTTTTGCTCCACGTTTGTCTTTGTGTAATGGCGTCTTAATCTTTTGTTTTTATGGCTGTGGTTGTGTTCACCCGGGGCTGTGAGAGTTGTTACCCAGCGGCCGAGCGGAACAGCGCGGTGGAATGTGGCTGCTTGTTGCCCAAACAATGGCCAGCGAAGGGAGGGAGCGAGGGGGAGTTCATGGAGATAAACTTTTTCGTTAAACGCAGCTCCGTCGTGTTTTAGCTGCTTAAACGGGTGCCTTTACTTAAACCTTCTCTTCGATTAAATTCCACCCCCTCCCCAAGGCATGCGTCGTGTTTTTATTTATTTTTTCACCTCGTTCAGCCTAAAAAATTCGGCCGTAAATCGCGTCGCCTCGTCTAGATACACCCGGTCACCTGTTTTCCTTTCTTCCTCCTCTTATTCTCCATCTTAAATAAGTGACGTTTCTGTTGATAGTATCATTTAATAACCTGATGCGAGTGAGGGACCTATGGTTCATGATAGTGAGCTAGGGACACTAGAGAGCGCCACAGCCCCCAGCCACACCGTCCCCACGTTGGTTACAGAGGACCGACCGGGACAAGACGATTATTACGAATATTAAGCAACGATTTAACGCAGCACAAATCACAGAAAGACTTGGCGATCGCACCAGTCAACACGCACACTCTGAGGTTTCGGTTGGATCTTTAGTGAGTAGTTGTTAAACCGGTCTGAGGGAAGATTTCCAGGCTGTTTTTAATCTATTAATACAAGGCACATGTTTATTTATTTTTTTTAAATAAAATGAAACCATAATAAGGATAGCGTTATCATCTTCTTCCTCCAGCAAACCCAACACTATCCGACTGTAGTGACTTACTGTTTCCTTCCTCTGGAAAAATACCACCTTTTAAAATCTGATTTAGGCACGTAGAGGGCTGAAACCTAGTCCTTAATACGCATTTGTTAGTTGTTTATCCTGAGAAATCTGGGTGTGAAGGTTTTTTTTTATACATGCAAACGTATCTAATTCCATAAAAGCTTGAAAAAGTTTACCACGCTCAGAAAATATTGGATAAATATGCCTGTTCTACCCAAAAAGCATTTTTGGTTGTAAAACGTTTTGCAACAGAAAGGTCACCATAGGTTTTGTAATAAATTACAAACTTCAGAAGATCAAAACACTATCTGTGATTAAAAAAACTTCAAATTGGTAGTACTTTGTTTTTCAGGGTTCAGAAAGTATGTTGCAGAACCCCAGCCACCACACCCTTTTCTGTTTTGGAGCGCCCAGTCTCACTTCTCTAAAGCCACACATGTCTGAGGTTTACAAGCGTTTCCACAGCGCCCGTCCAAACTTTACCCTGCTGCCAAAAATGACGTTCATGTGAGATGATGGCCATCTCAGTGCAGATGAGGTTTGGTTGCTCTGTCTTCAGTTTAAAAATAAGAAAATGGCATTCCTGCTTAAAATACTACCTTTAAAGTGTGTCATGAGGTGTGCGTCTAGATTTAAGTGTTACTGTAAGTGGTCTCCACTAACTCCCGTTAGCCACGGTGGCGGCTCGGAGAGAAATCTCATCTTGTGATTTTGTTAAGTGGATTATATTGGGTCTGACAGGTTATTTTGGTTAACATGTGTTATTTTGCCCTTGGTGCACTTCCTGGTCAGGTTTCTCATTGATGGCAGTTGACTTGTAACATCAGCAGATAAAGCAGATGATACTGAAAATGCCTTTGATGGCTTTAACAGAATCAAGGGAGGGAGGGTTAATATTTAAATAAAAAGTGCTAGACACAATAGAAAGTTCAGCTTCTTCCTGTTGCGTTAAACTTGCTGCATACTGAAAGCATGTCCGTTTTACGTTTAAAATTTGCTAAACCGATAGAAAACCTTTTAATGCGTCCGTTAGCTCAGAGAGAACCGTGGTGTGAACGCTTGCACTTTGTCCATCTCACAGCAGCTGCACATCTCCCTCACACACCCAACATTTTTCACATGTCTACACAGCTGTTTCCACAGCGGAAGAAAATTGATACCACCCTTGTGTGCGTCCAGTGCTCCCACCCTGCTCCGCTAGCATGTGTTCACAACCGTCCATCTTACTTTCTCGATAAGTTACGGTGTCCCTCAAGGTCAAGCTGAGCGACTGGCAGGCCTCTTCTGAAATCCCCGTGCGTTGCAGTTGTTCGTCTGTTAGCTGACACCTGCTCTGCAGTTTTTAAAATTTATTTCTTTTTACGATCTGCCTGCCAACAAGCTGCTTCAAATGGATTTTTTTACTTGGCAGATGGAGACAAACCATATAACATCAAGTGTAGAACAGTGTTCTGGGGTGTTCCAGAGAGAGACTACACTTGTATTTGGGGTTTACATTATTCAGATTGCTCTTCAAAGTTTCCCTTTTCTTTTCCGCTTGTTATGAGTGTGTTAAGACTAAATGTTGGAGTAGTGACTTTATTGCTAACTTAATTCTGATACTTTAGTTTAGAAACACTGAGTGCAGACCCACACGCTGTGCAGAATCTGGTGATGTTTGAAGCAGGATGGTAGTTGCTCAGCACAGATGTCCAACACCTGTGGGTGGAAAAGCAATCAGGTTCAGATGGTAGCTTCCGAAACAAAAACCTCTATCTGGTGGTCCAGCTTTCATACATTGCACCAGACAAAAGGACATTTCTGAAACTTTGTGATTTTAAGGAGAAACCTTAATGTACCAAGTTTTACCAGCAAGCCTGATTTTGAGTTCAGTTTAGTGGGCTGTTGTTTCACACAGCCCTGTAGGACTAAACCCTATGTCCACTGTAATGTTCCTCAGCTACATCATTGCACACATTTGCATCCTGCCTGCGTGTCTCTCTGTCATGATTTCGACAGGATGTTCCTGATAGAGCTGTCTGCATTAGGAGGACAAACTGTCTCCTGTGCATCGTGGTGGCTTTGTAGAGAACTGGTCCTTTGGGAACAGCTGTTTAGAGAACAGGTTGTGATGAACTGCAGAACATTGGAAGTCTGTTTTCTACCTGCTGCCCCTTTTTTCTGTCAATCATTGTTAAGTTTTCCCCTTTTATATCTTTACACGCACCTGACATCAGATTGCCATGGCACCTCTTTTCCTTTCTGACCTTTTGAACCCCTCTGTATGGATTAAGACCTCCAGCAACCTTTGACTTTCCATTCATTTAACAGCTAACGAGATCAAGCACAGAGAAAGATACCACTTAAAGCCTAAAGAGAACACGGATGAAGACGGACAGAAAAGGAGGATTGGAGGTGTTAGGCCAGGACTGTTGCAAGAAGAAACCTGTTCTGCCCTTACCCCATTTCATTTCTCCTCACACCCTCTCCCAAAGCAGCACTTATAAGCTGAGATTTAATTAACTAAGAGCCATTCAATAAGCTGGTTTACTGAGCTTCAGTCACCAGTGAGGAGACACAACTGGAGACTTTGTGTTGTCTTTCGTTGTCTGCCACCACCATGCGCTCATGTGGTTCCTCTTACAGACTCTCCTCGTTGATAATACATTAGGTGGAGGTGCGAGCCTGACATGAGGAGGTGGGAAGCTTTCCACGGGACGCAGGATTGCCTTGCCTTGGCTTTCTTCCTGTCATGGCTGTTCTTCATGTTGTTTCTAGCCTGTAGCTCCACCACAGCATCTGCAGGAGTTCTAGTCTGTTCTGACTCCAACTTTGGACACCATTTCCTTCTCTTGCCTGGCTCTAACCCAAGCAATGCCACTCCTATCTAGGATGCATGATAAAGTCATCCACCGACAGCTCCTGGAGCTTATCTAAGGCTTCAATCCCACGAGTGCTGGGGCCCCTTATCACCGCCGCCTCTGCCTGGCCTCCTGTCTTTACGCCCTGCTCTAACGGCCTGCCTGGCTATCTGACTGTCGCCAAGACGGAGTGTCTTCCCGTATATACTGCTGCCTGTAAGACAGCACATTGCAGGGGTTTGTTTTATCCCCCCCCCCCCCTCCAGCATTAGAAACACAGAAATTACCTTGTAATGAACAAAAATGGGATTATTTCTGAAAGTATTTACAGTTGTTTTGTGGTAAACTGAGTCGTGGCACAAGAGGAAGAAGCAAAAGAGGATGTTGCAATTTATTACAAAAGCTTCTTGACTCAGACTTTTCTTTAAATGAAGTTTTATTTTTTACTGGAGCTCCAGTTGTCAGAGTTTTAGTCTTTTATTCACACTTTGTCTGAAACCACAAAAAAAGAAACATCTACTGGAAGTTTTGCCTTTTTCAGACGGGAAAGCACCAAGGAGAAGGCGAGTCGGTGGTTTGTTTTTCCCTCTGACAGACATGGAGAGGGAGGGGAGCTGTTTTCCTGCTGTGGTGACACGAGAAGCTTGCTTTCTTATTTTTTACAGATACTGTTCTGTCTCTGAAAATCTCTTTGAGTTACTTGGATTACATCATAAATCATCATTCAACACATATCTCCATTAACACAGTTCTGTGCGTAAGGATCACATACACAATGTGTTCCAGTCAGAAGTTAGGGCGCACCCTTTTACATTCTTTAAATGTTCTGAATAGTTCTCCCAGTCGGATTTCTCATCATGTCCCTGTTTTACTTCTGAACGGCTTCAGTGTCCACCAGTGAACTTTCTGAAGAATACTACTCGGTATTTATCATCGTTTCTCTGTTTTTATGCCACAGAGGCTGAAATAACGTTGAATGGTCTCTCTTCTGCTCCAGCTCGCCCCCTCTTCTTTAGGAGGCAGCCAGCTCAGGAATTTTACCAGGAGCACAGTCAGAGCACTTAACCTCCAGCCTGGTGTTTGTTTTCCACACATACACTCACGGTGCGCTTTAGCTCTGCTTAACTGAAGAGTCACACAGTGAAGAGTTCTAGCCTTAAAAATCCCAAATATATAAAAAGATATGTTGTTTCCAGGTATTTTTCTTTTTTAAGCCACTTAATTTTTAAATCTTGATTATAACAAAACTAAAAGTGTACTAATGCTACATTCATATTCCCAAGTAGCTACATTACTGTGAAACAGTTTTCTATTTGAAACTAAACAACTTAAGATGCCTTTTCTGTTTCATGATTAAATATGATGGCTAACTGTTTAGAATCAGTTTGCTAAAATGTTCCATTTTGTTTTTGTTTTTTTTTTTTTCAAAAAGGTTGGCACAATTTAAGACAAGGATTTCTGTTGTTTTTCTCTTCTTGTAACAGATGTGTTTGTGTTTCTCTGAGAAAAGTAGAATCTGAAGTAATTCTTATATTCATGCCTCATTGAAACCAGCAAACACACCTCTTGATGTTTTACCAGATTAATTTGGTCTTTTGATCTCGGATGGAGGTAGATGTAATCTGTCTTTTTATGTAAAGGCCTCGAGTGAAATTTTCTGCCCCGAGGCTTCGTTTTGGGGATGTCCCGATCCGATCACATGAATGGAAATCTGCCCCGATCACGTGGCTTCAGACTGATGGGGACTCGGGCTTTACTTCCCGATCCGGACTGGATACTGGGTTCTAATTACAGGAGAGCAACTTGGTTCTCCTTAAAGGGGCATTATGGAAGTTTGACAGCCAAAACATGTATAGAAATAATAAATTTCTTCTTCATACATTCTCCTGCAATGCCCTGGTTCTGTAGAATAAGCCCTGGTATTTTTACTGTGATTGCCTGTTTTTCTGTAAAATCACAGAAAAAGAAATGCTCGGGTCGAGCAGGCTGCTTCATGCGCGTTCACGCTCAGGCATAGCCCGTAGCATTTGCTATCCGTAGCTTAGTAGTAAGATGCCCAAATTTTTATTTGAGACTCGCCAAACGGCATTCAATTCACAGATAAAAAAGATGTGGGTTCAACTTTCATTTTGGAACAATTTTTCAAGCAAGGGATGGGCATGATCTGAGCATGCAGGAGGACTGACCCATCATAAACCTTTGTCGGCTGTGCTGAAGAGAAAGGTACAGAACCAAATTAATTAATTAGCTGCGCGTTCTCCTGTCCTCTGTCCTGCGGGCCACATGCACACACACACACACACACAGGACTGTCTCAGCTGTTATTTTCGTTAAGGAGGGTGCACGTACAATATGCGCGCCTCGTGCACGAGCCTACTATTGAAGCTGCCGTTACACTTTTGGCCTGAGGGGGCAATCGCGGGCATAAAAATTCAAAACTCCGTAAATTCCCTTTAAAGGTTGTCCAGCTCCCCTGATGCCCTTAACTTACACACCCAGAAGGAGCACTAAAGAGATCCAGTTTTTACCTATATTATATTATTTATATGGACTCAGAGTAGTGGGGATTATTTTAAGCAGAGATGCAGAGAGCGGCAGAAAGACCGCTGATTATTCATGAGCTGCATTCTGCACACTGCGACAGTAAAATTTTCTGTTTCTAAGTGGCGTCACCAAAAAATATATAATTAACACACAGTCGTTCGTGTCCGTTCATTTTCTCTCTGGTAAGTTCTGTCTGTATTTGAGCATGACGTGTGGACGCGCTCGCGCTGCTGCGCTCGTCACTGGCGCAGCCGAGCAGCGCACACTTTGCTTTTTTTGCGGTCAATAGATCAATTTGATCTGCTAGTTAAAAAGTTACTTGTGAGGTGAAAAAGAAAGAAGCAGGCAGGAGTTTTTCTGGAGGACTGGGAGATGCAGGAAGATCAGAGACAGACAGGACAGGAAGATAGGAAAATAAAAACCAAGAAAACAAGACAAAGTTCTTAAAAAATAAAATGTAGGTAGATTTAACCCACTACACGTTTGTGCCTGTATAAAGCAATAATTTATCAGCATGTAGTATTTATATATTTGATACAATTCAGATCATCTTCAAAACTCCGTCCCATGCCCAGGGACGTATCTAAGCATTTTGGGGGGCGAGGCAAAATAGACCCCTGCCAGGTATTTTAAGTTGATGTGCTATCTGTTTTTATATTAGACTTTTTATATTTGCATTAAAATCCAAAAGTGAAGAATTTATGTTCATCTTTATTTAAACGTTCTCTCGTGTTTTTACAATCGTTGCGATCAGACAATGGTGGCTTGTGTAGCTTGGCACCAGTTCCATGTGCTGCACAGTTGTATTGTACTCTGGCTCTTTGCCCTGTAGTCTTGTGCTCTAATGTAAAACACGGCTTCCTTAGCATACTTCATGCACACGTGAAACAAATCCAGCTGTAGCATCACATGAAAGGAATCAGATTTCTGCGCAGCACGACAAACCTGCTTGGCTCCAGGACTGTTTCTGTTTTTACTCAAGACGGATCATTTTTGATTCTTCGTACATCTGTCCTTATCTGTTCTGTGGTTGGGAAACAATAGATAGTTTAGAGTGATTAGGCTTTGATTGCGAGACAAAGAGTCTCTGTTTCATGCCGTTAAACCCGAAGAACTGACATCGAAATGGACAGATAACCAGCAGGAAAGAATGTGTTGACTAAAAGGCTGGCAAGCATGACCCTCGTCCCTGCTCTGTTGATTGATTGCGCTGACTGCAAGCTAAAAACATGCAGCCCAAGACTGGTCCATGTGACACAGAGCATAGAATTCCTGTGTGCTGTGAATGAGGTCACCTGGTTAGTTATGAATGAGGTCACTGACCCCTCCTCAGCTCTACAGTCTAACCCTCTGTGTCCCCACAGCAAATGTTACACAATGGCTTTTTGTGCCTTAATGGAGCACTCACCATGTCGAGCCTGCAAGCTCACAGAAACGTAAATAAGCTGACCACGACTTTGCATTTCTTTTCTGTATGTTGTATTTAACACTCAGGTAATTACTTTGGTTGGATCACTAGTAGACAAGAAGTTTTATTTTCTATCTTTAAGTACAAGAAGTTTTATTTTCTATCTTTAAGTACTCATGTACTTCCTGAAATGTGGTGGGATAATGTATGGAATAGGAAAACTGGTGTGCCTGCACTTTTCTGTTTAGTTGAATTACAGCTTTTGTTGTGGAATTTAGTCATGAATGCATTCAGTGCATTGTCATGAGATAACCTTGTGATGCTTACACTCTTTAAAATGATAAGGATCAGTCGATCATAAATACGTTAATCAGGCTCCTATTCATCTCAATACAACTCAGTGGTCCTTCCATCTGCTGAGATGAGCCCACGTCTGTGTTTTAACTAATTCAGCGTGTTTAAATCACAATTAAATCTGCATCTGAGCTTTCAGTCTTAGTGAAGTCTGTATTTTTAAGTCTAGTTCAAATACTTAACAGATGTTCACTAAACTGTTTATCTTATCAGTTTAAACTAATGCCTGTTAAATTCTGAGCACAATTATTTTTATGCCATTTTAGCCACACTTACATTTTGCACAGCAAAGTTCTCCTATACAAGTGAAGTCCTTTTTGGGAGTTTCATGTTTGTGTTGTGTTCAGGTACCATTTTCCTTCCAGATGTTGACGACATCGAGGCACAAAATTTGGATCTTGTCTAGGGCTACCTCCAACTGGTATAGTAAACTTCTGGTAAGCTTCTAAAACAAGTGAGGACCAAAAAAAAAAGTCATCACTTTGAAAAATGTCCTCACATTGCAGGGAAAATGGTCCACAGTATGTAGTATGTACAAGAACACACACGCACGCACACGCACACACACACACACACACACACACACACACACACACTAAATGTTATTTCATGTTGTGGTGGTGAAACACACACACACACTAAAGGTTATTTCATGTTGTGGTGGTGAAATGGGGCCTGGTAGGTCGTTGTCGTGGTATCCTGGGTTGAGCAGCTTGATCATCTCTTTGAAACCTTGATCGCTGACCATGGACAAGAGTCTCGTGACCAACATGTTCACCATGGCCTCGGTCAGGATGTTGGCTTGCTAAGGTGTGCACATAACAAACTCGTTCATTGAAAAGGAGCACTTGTAGTAACACCGCAATGTGGCGGGATCAAATAAATCATTAGCGTTTGTAATTCAGGGTTTTTCCTGCATTCAAATTTGCGTGGCGGCCGCCTCCAGCTAATTTTGTGCTGCCCCCAGCTATATGGATGTTATTTTAACTGCAGTTGCAGCGTTGCGCCACTTCACAGGCGCTGTATCAGATCAGTCCACCGAAAAGCACTAAAACCGCTGCAGACAAAGATCAAAAGTTGCTTTTCTCGCTAGTTGGTACATATCTGTGGTTGGTGCTATTGACGTCCTGATTTTCCCCCAGGCTCTTCCATATCAGAGCAGGACTGTACAGTGCGACGAGAAAAAAAAAACAGTCTGTGCGTGTCTGTCTATTTTTAAACGTAGCACTTTTTGTTTTAAACTCAGTGACACACTTTGCAGGGGGATTTGGCATTTAATTTTTCTTGGCATCTGGAAAAACATCTCCTTCTGCCCCCCTTTATTTTGGTCCATGATCATTACTGGGCTGGACCTATTAAAAACGTTCTACACCCCTGCTTAGTAGACTTAATGAAGTATTTTTAAGCCAGTATAAAAATGACTGAAACACAAATTTACATATTTGGCATTGTTGACCAATATCTTTGATTTAATTTATTTGTTAAGAACATCAAGATTCATTACAGTGAACATTATAATAAAGAAAATTTTTCTAGTGCAGAGCGGAGACAACCCATAGAAGCACTGATTTGATCTCATTTCAGAGAAAAATAGAACAGGTCAGATGAACCTAATAAATAAAATTACTAACAAACTCAGGAATCTGTTTCTTTGCTTCATTGTACTGGTGCTGAAAATATCACTAATGTGGATCATAGGAGATACACAGATGACTGCACCTCTTATTTATTATTTGGAAATTAGTGGGTGTGGTTTACATCAATACATTATTTTAAATCTGAAATTGATATGGACTGATCAGAAGTTTCTATGTGTATTGTTTATTTGAAAACTATTTACAGAGCGGCGTCAGAACTGAGATTAAATATTTTTTTAACACAGTAGTAAAGGAACTATTACAGAACAAGTTTTTCAGTAAAATTAGAACATTAATATTTAAGTGCATGAATTAATGCATCTGAACTCATGCAGTAGGAACTAGGAAATATGAAATACTAGAGCCATTTTATTTTAATTTGATTAAACTGATTTTTTCCTAACGTTGTTGGCATTTTTCCCACCCACAGTTAAACAAAACAATGTTGATTGAGGTGTGTGTGTGTGAGAGAGAGAGAGCGAGAGAGGGAGAGAGAGTTAAAAAAATGAAAAAAAAAAAAAAAAAACCGACCGGAGCAGAGGCAGTGACCGACACATGCACAAGCCGTTTTCAGCTCTGTCTTGTCAAATGCACCACGTACGTTACGAAAAAGTAACTTTAAATATTAGACCGAAAAAGAGGCGGCTGAAGAAAACCTAGGGAGTACTGAAGAAACGTGAGCAACAGTGAAGCAGTCACAGAGAGATCCGTTACTGTGTGTGTGCGTGGATGGGCCCGACAGACTGAGCTCCCAGCTGCAGTTTTGTGTATAGGGAGGGGCGGGCGCTCTATGTGACTGGCCAATCACAGAGCGTGAAGACTGTCAGTTACCCAATGAGGATTTTCCTTCAGCACGATTACAGATATTTACAAGTTGTACTCGTTTCATGCTCATATTTGTCAAAAATGCTTAATCCGTACCGAATACTAGTCTGAAATGAGTATCTGGCTCATCCCTAGCTGTAACCACCCTGCCCTGCCTCCTCCTCCTTGCTGCCTGCCGGCTGTGATCACAAGCAACAACAGAGTAGTTCCCGCAGCTTCTTCGGGAAACGGCGGAGAAAAAAAAACCCAATAAAACTACGCCTGTGTAAGGGAAACGCTGAATTAGAGCAAAAATATGTGACATACAAACGTGTTATAAAGGTATTAAAATAGCCACTGCTGGTTTTGCTACAGCTGTACATACAAGTAGCTCTCTGTTGATGTTAGCAGCTAACAAGAGATAAACTTACAGAGGCGACCCTTAGTTCTTCGCCATGACGTGCTTCCTCTTAAGGTGCTCATGCGTCTCTGATGTGCTCCCGTGAAAGGAGAGTTTCACTTAGCAGAGTTTGCACTCTACGGGCCTTTCTTTTATCTTTTTATAATGCTCCCAATCTTTTGAGCTACGGTGCAGACTCGCCATGTTTTCTTTCTCCGGTGGCGAAGGCTGATCTGGATGGCCACTACTGCGCATGCGCCTCGGAGCTAAAGTGGCGGCTAAGCAAAAAGGCAGGAAGCAACCGCCGAATGGGTCTCAGCAGGCGAGATTAAAAAAATGTTTATAAATGAAACGACACATCGACTATTGAATTATTAGTCAACTATTTTATTTGTCGATGTCGTCGTGAATATGATTTCTGGATTTGAGCTTTGAATCGTAGCAATGACTAATATGTAGTTTGTAGCACACATTTAGCAACATGCTGGTCAAGGAGGTTTTCCTGGGTGAGCAGAGGCCTCAGGGAGGGTTGACTGAGCAGAAAACAATTAGCATGAGTTCAAAAAGGGCAAAAATGTAGCCTTATATTATCTTTAGTTCCTTTTTATGTAAAAGTTATTAAAAATAGTTATGCAGGAACTCAGAAGGAGGAAAGTTTCATACCTAGCACAGACATAGCCTTGAATATTACACAAAACAGCAGCCTTAGTTTCACAGTGAAGGTAACGTTTAGGTAAAACAATCCAACCCACCTGGTTTATCTAGAAATGAGTGTTGCAACTATAGATAAGAAGGAAGCTTCTATTTCATCTAAAGGTGAAAAAATGACTTTAGAGTAAAGGTAAACAAAGCACCATGGCTAATGATTTAATAAATAGCTTCTACCCGTTATAACAAAATTTCCTCTTTGCCTCTGTTGCATTGAACTGTTGCCCTTTTCGTGGATTTATTTTCTTATGAGATTTTAATGATTATTCTGTGCTGATTCGTTTTTCTCAAAAACTTTGGTGACAAAGCAATTGACGTCGACTTTAAATGATTTTTTTTACGTACGTACACATTACCCAATGCTTCCAAATGTAATAGTAATGTTTGAATATGAGTGACCCTTAGGGAAAAAGAAGATTGTAATTAGAGGTGGACAGCAAGAGGTAGACAGGTGTGGGCATGACCAAGTTGCCAGCTGATGTTGACACCTTCAGGTGAAGAATAGTCTGCTAGGAAATAGACTTGTCTCAGACTGTCCTCTCTAATCTTTGTCTTAGCCTCCCTTTCCTCTTGTCCTTCCTTGGCTTTCCAACAGTGTCTGGTCCAAGTTTAGTCTGTTGTAGGAGTTTTTTCTTCAGACTTATTTTTATTGAGTAGCTGACACTTTCAATGGTTTTTTTGCTGCTTCTCCTCTCTCATCACCAACTAAAATCCTACGCTCTGTATCCTGGACAGACACTTTCCTTTGTTTTCCCTCCCGTTATATCTTAAACACGCAGGTGCATCCTGCTCATCTGTGTTTTGCCTTCAGAATTGATAATCCCTTGATCAATATGAGAAATCCTCCATTGTTGTTTTTTTCCCAGCAGAGAGAAAGTGCAGCGTCTCCCTTGGGATGGACTCATTCTTCCTGGCTTTGTCTTTTCACCTACAGTATTTATTTTAGCACCGTGTCACTTCAGCCAACATTACCCTCTTGTCTCATCTGTTATGCTGTTCTCCTTTCATCTCCTGCCCCCTATTGTTTATTTATTTATTTTTTTTACAAGCTGTCCGGTTCCAATTGTTCTCTCCTTTGCAGTGTCCTTCTGCATGATTGCAAGTGTGCAGCAAAAACCCAGCCTTGGGGCTACATTGCCCCTTTCATGTGAGGACCAGTGGTGACATTAAAGCTGTGCAACGTGGTCTGTCGGTTTGCATCAGCCCAGCTCTCACTAACGGAGCTCACGATCATAACATCTGCGTGGCTCTACTCACTCACTGCCAGACTTTAACATCGGATGGTCGGGACAACATGTCTGCTCATGCTGGTAGTAATTGTATACATGCATATGCACTTGAAGATTTGTTTAGCCCCCACACCCATGTGCTTTGACACAGATCAATGTTTAAGCAGAGTGAAAGGTTGGCTAATGACAGCTGATTCAGCAAAAATACTTCTTGCCTTTTAGTCCCTTAAATGATCCTTTAATCTCCTCCTTTTTTCTAGTATAACATTTTAACTTTGTTGTTGTTTCCCACTTTCAAAATGTTTTATTTAACTTTAGATAAATTTAACCTGACCTGGCAGTCAGGTAAAGTCCAGACAAGCAGACTAAACAAGTGGGGTCGATAAACGGGTCTTTGTTCTGCAGATGGGAGGAAGGACATCCGGGCACTCTTCACTTCCTTTTATTCACTTCATGCCCTCACAGTGAGCAATCTTAGCATCAGGAAGTGCATCAGATGCTGCTAGTTTCTCAATATCTTTCAAATGTACCATACTTGTTTTTTTCTTCACAGAAAAGGTTTGTGTGACTGGTGACTGCCGAACTTTTGCACAGTTTTGATTCTCGGCCCAGAACTAATGTTCTGGTAGAGATTGTGTTTACATATTCAGGGGTGGACATTAACTTCTAAACCAACCGGCCAGCCGGGCCGGTAACTCTGACTATTTACCGGCCCCACCAAGAATCTACCGGCCCCACTGGTCAGCTGCCAAAACGAGTCAAAATAATAACAGAACTGTTTTAAATGTAATAAACCTTTATTTTGTACACATTCACAAACATAATAACGTATTCAAGTTTGAATTTGTTTGTTCCCTCAACAAAACACGATTTTGTCGTCGCATACTTCCGGCATACAACGCAGTACATCACCAACTCCGCTTTGCTGTACTCAAGCCATCGGCTGTGTTCGAGGTGAGCCAGTTCTGCGCAGACTAGACCAAGCAGTGCATGCCGGTTAGATTTGTGTCCGAATTGCCATCGTCACCCCCGCCATCCAAGAGATTCAACTGGCAGAAACAACTGGTTCACAGCATAGTCTCTCTCTCTCTCTCTCTCTCTCTCTCCACTCACTCACTCACTCACTCACTCACTCACTCACTCACTCACTCACTCACACACACACACACGTAGAGGAAAAGAGCTGAGAAAAGATAGAGAGGAAATGGAGGGCAAGTAGTTAAAAGAAAAACTACAGCTGAGCCGAGGCGCGCCTCGAATGGGGCGCGTCTGATCTGAATTGAGGAGCGGCGAGCAGCGGCCGAATTTCGTGAGCAATTCGCTTCTCGGCGCTTCGGGCGCTTCCGCGGCCGGTGTGTCCCCGGCGAAACGCCGGCTTTTAGCCACTCCCCCCGCTGCTTCCGTCTTCTCTCGCCTGTTTTCCAGGCGATGCGCTGCTCAACTCGAACACGGCCATCCTCTGCGCCTCCAGTCTTCTTTAAACCGCCAAGAATCATTCCACCTACGCACACGCTTCTCTGCTTCAGACGTTTAGAACTGTCTCGCTTCTCCTCACCAGTTTTAAAGCGTTTTGCCGGAGATTTCATCAAGAAATCCCATCCCTGTGGTGGCGCCATCTTCCTGCGTGCTTGTGTGTTTCTAGCGTGGTTCCACTTCGTCTTTAACAGTGAACTTATAGTTCACGTGACTATAACTAGAATGTGCAGTACGTGCACGAATCGTACAAGTGCAGAACGTGGCTAGAGGCGCGCAGGTTCACGCGCGCGAAACGAAAACGGAGGCTTCCTACAGGGCGGGGCCATGATGCAGGTGAAAGCCGGTGTGTAAATGACAAATAAGGCTTGGGCGCCACCCGGGCGGTAAGTCGTCAAGTATTTAACGCCCGACGAGAAAATTTAGCGCCATTGGCGCTCGGGCGCTTTAAAGGTCCACCCCTGATATTTAACATATTTCTTAAATGTTCAATTTGTACCAGACACAAATGGCCTCTTGTGTTGTGGATTGTGGGACAATGACTAGCTGGCAAAGACACAACAGCTGTGGTGTGTGTGTGTGTGTGTGTGTGTGTGTGTGTGTGTGTGTGTGTGTGTGTGTGTGTGTGTGTGTGTGTGTGTGTGTGTGTGTGTGTGTGTGTGTGTGTGTGTGTGTGTGTGTGTGTGTGTGTGTGTGTGTGTGTGTGTGTGTGTGTGTGTGTGCGCGCGTGTGTGCGTGCGTGCGCACGTTGTCACACCCGGGGACAACAGCGGCTGGATGTTGGATGGGAACTTAAGATGGTAGCTACAAGCCCCAGCAGGCCCCATGATGAGGAATGAAGCAGTCTGACAAGTAGACATGCACACACACTCGGTGGT